TATAGGCTGGCGGTGATGCACGCGGGCGCCCCCTGTTGTGGTATGAATGCCGCCGTTCGCTCGTTTGTCCGCAATGTCATCTTCAGGGGCGACACTGTTCTCGGCATTCACGAGGGTATCGACGGCTTTATTGAAGGAGACATTCGACCCATTGGTTGGACTGAAGTGAGTGGTTGGGTGGGTCAGGGCGGCGCCTTTCTCGGCACTCGACGCACATTACCCGAGAAGAATATTCCCAAAATTGTCGAAAATATTAAAGCGCATCGCATTCAGGCACTGCTCTTCATCGGAGGCTTCGAGGCCTACCATTCTATCATCCAATTAGCCGAAGCGCGTAACGACTTCCCTGAACTTCGGATCCCGATGTGTGTAATACCGGCCACTATTAGTAACAATATTCCCGGCACTGACTTCTCTCTCGGCGCCGACACCGCACTCAATGAGATCACTGAAATATGCGACCGAATCCGACAATCAGCACAGGGTTTGCATATTTATAATTAGGAATCAAGTCTTAAACCTAATCGTAATTCTCATACATATCAGGCACTAAACGCCGAGTTTTTGTCGTCGAAACGATGGGTGGATATTGCGGTTATTTGGCGACATTGGCCGGTCTGGCGGGCGGTGCGGACGCCGCTTACATATATGAAGAGCCCTTTTCTATTAAAGATCTGATGGGAGACGTGTATCACATGCACTCCAAGATGGCTGAAGGCGTCCAGAGAGGACTTATACTTAGGTATTATAAAATTGCATTTATTATGTTAGAAACGAAAATTTGAATATATTTTGTATTTTGCATAGAAACGAAAAGGCGAACGCAAACTACACGACAGACTTTATCTATAGGTTATACTCAGAGGAGGGCAAAGATATCTTCTCGACCCGACACAACATCTTGGGCCATATGCAACAGGGAGGCTCTCCCTCCCCATTCGACCGCAACTTTGGCACCAAAATGGCTGCCAAAGCGGTTGATTGGCTGCACGCACAGCTCAAACTGCACACACAGCCCGACTGCTCGGTCGTGTGTTCGGCGCCCGACACGGCTGTTCTCTTAGGTTTAGTGCGCCGACAGTATCGGTTCACTCCCTGCCAAACATTGAAATTGGAGACAGACTTTAAGTGAGTTAAGCCTTCATTAATCTATCAATGATTTATATTTATCTACCGATTGATTGCTTTTTGTTAAAGAGGTTTAGTTTGTAATCCCAACTCTCGTTGACTGCACACCGATTTGTTGCACTGTTTAGTTTCATTCAATGATTGCATCAATTCTATCACTTTCTATGTTTTTTCCAATGCATTGCTTATGATGTTTGCATTATTGCATCCGTGTTTCCACTTATGGTTTTGTTTTGTTTGTTTTGTTTTGACTATTATTTTGTGTTTCCCTTACACTTCAGATGTCGTATTCCTCGAAATGAATGGTGGCTTCGGTTAAGACCTTTACTGCGAGCCCTCGCAACCCCTGTTAATTATATCGGCGACATTGAAACCACTGCCTATGATTTCAAACGTCTATTGGATTCTTAGACTCTTTATGTAGAATCCGAGCCAACGATCAATTATATAAATGCAGCAATAATTAGCTTATTCTTTATTTTGCTCACTATTTTCGCTTATTTTAAGGCAATATTTCAACGAAAACCCGGTGTTAGGAGTGATAAGTAATCGTAAATGTAATCATTTGTCATAAATCGTGTTATTTTAAGCGTTACAACAATCTATATCTTAAACAATCGTTTAGTATTTTTGAGCACTTTTGTTGAACCGTTGACTAGTATTTTGATGTAAAGGCATGTAAACTATAATTAAGACTTTTGTCCAACACTTCCATATATAGACATCGAATACCCAAAAGACAGTGGTATTTGAAACTGCGATCACTTTTGCGGATTTTGGCCAAACATGAGTCGGCGTACGAACCCGAGGCACAGGAAGAGTTCGCCGAAAGTGATGAAGATTAACATAACTGTCCCTAAACTTTGTGGCAAATTATTGTTTTCCTATTTTTTGATTTGTTGTTAACATTCAATTTATTTTATTATATTTTTAAATGTTATATTCAATAGATTATACCCTAAATACTATTACATCTAGTCTTTAAAAATGATTATACAGTATAAGTGATTATGAAAAATCTGATTGACTTTACAATTACTTTAGATTTAATCTCAATTTTTATTAAATTCAGTACAATTGTAACGATCCTTTTGTAATGAATGATTTTAACGTAGTATTGATATATATTTTATGAAACTATTTTTATGTAAAATACATTTAACTCTACAATCAGTAATAATTGTGTTATTTTTTGTTAACGTTAAGTGAAATTAATTGTTTGTGTTTTAAAAGACCATTGAATTCAATATATTAATGCAATAAATGCAATAAAAGTTGGAAACAGTACTCAAAATAGCATTAATTCTGACACCAATTCAAGAATTTCATCCCAAAGTTGACTTCACTGCCGCACACATAGGGCTGCCATACAGTGAAGTGATTGTCGAGTTTCTGAAGGCTGAGTACAGTATAGCTCTCTATTGGCAACGTTTGGACGCAAACAGTGTTTGTGTTTACAGTTTTCACGTGTTTTGGTTGGAGTGACGGAAATCACGTGCTTTTCATCGCTTGACAAGACTTCGGGCTTTTGTACCGAAAATAATGTCCAAAGAAGTGATTAATTGGAAAGAAAAACACAAATTGATTAAAGACTGGAAACGCAAGAAGAAAGACAAACTAAAGCAACGCCTCGACGGACAGACACCCGAAGACACCAATGGACTCATCCCTCACTCCGACCATCACGTGATGGATACGACTGTCGGCACTATTGACGAGTCGTTGACCACAGAGGAAGCGAGTGGTGGCCGGAAATGGACGGCCAGTATAGCCGTGCCGTTCAGTATTGTAGAGAACGCTCAGTCGCCGGAACTGAAGGCATACCTCATCGGACAGATCGCCAGAGCGCTCGTCGTCTTCAATATCGACGAGATTGTCGTCTTTGACGAGTACTCCAGACAGACATCGGATGTCAAGTATTTATTCATTATCTTCTATGCGAAGGACTGTTAACATAAAGTTTTGACATTTTTAGCTCTACTTCTGAAGAGTCTCTACTCTATGATAGAAGAAAGTCAGCGATGGTTCAAATGATCCGTATATTGCAATACCTCGAGTGTCCGCAATATCTCCGCAAATATCTCTTTTCGTTGCAAAAGGATTTACAGTTCGCCGGTCTGTCTGTTTGAACACAACTTTCTCATGGAATCCATGTCTAACTTATTATTGATTTATTTGAAAGGACTTCTCAATCCATTGGATTCAACGCATCACTTGAAGACAGCGGATGAGTGTCAATATCGGGAAGGAGTGGTTACTAATAGACCGGTTCGGGAGGGGAAGGGATCCTTTGTTTACATTGGACTCCAAAAAGACATTCAAATTGACAAATGTTTGAAACCAAATGTGAGACTAACTGTTAAATTGGATGACAACGAGAATCAAAGGAAAAAAGTTCGCGGCGTCGCTGTCTCGCCATCAGAGCCACGGGAAGTGTTGGGCCTCTACTGGGGGTATACAATACGGGCGGCAAAATCGTTGAGCGCTGTATTTAGTGAGTGTCCATTCGATGGCGGATACGACCTGACAATCGGCACATCAGAAAAGGGCCAAAATGTGGACCGAGTGTTGAGACAAATACCCAAAAGATTCAACCATTTGTTGGTAGTGTTCGGTGGCCTTAAAGGTCTGGAAGCGGCCCACGATTCCGATGAATCCCTGGCCAGTGTTGAGGATACGGCCGATTTGTTTAATTACTATTTGAATACATGTCCTAATCAGGGATCCAATACTATCCGCACAGAGGAGGCCGTACTCATCACACTATCGGCGCTTAGGAAACGGCTTTTAAGGATATAAAACATAATTAATTTTGTGTTATATTTAAATTATTTTTAAACCAATATTTGTGGCCTCATTTAATGAATGATCATTTCTATACATGTATGTAATTTTAAATGAAATCCATTTCTATAAATTGTGTTCAATTTATAATGTATGCAAATTATCAACATTTTATTAAACACTGTTAAACTTATCATGTATTGACTTCATTATAGTATAACTCAATGTAAATAGTTTTATCACTTCGAGTGATATTTCAATTTATGTGTCTTTAGATATAGTTTTAATTGAGATTAACTAATAATTTAGTTAACTATTGAACGAATCGTAGGGTTTGTTTCATTCAATGCACATCAGATGACACCAAACGATAGCACTGTTTGTCAAGTCATTCATGAAAGACGTTGAGACGAGTTGTGCCATAAAATGTATGACAAATGAGTGGACAATGGGTTCAGGGGTTGACGACAGACACCCCTCAAGACGTAATTGATGTCCGAAATGGAGGTTTGAATGAGAGGTCAGTGAAGACAACAAAACATTTTGAAATAATCGTAAAAAAGCTTTTGTTTTGATTTGATTTGAGATAACGTTTGAAACGTGTTTTGCATTCAATTTAAACCTCAAATCAATAGTTTGTCCAAAAATCCAAACAAATAATGAGTTTTGCGTTGAATTGTGCGGAAAAATGAGTCAAATCGGCGCTCATTTGCAGTTATCATCGCTTCATACCATTGGACACAATATGGGGATCAACTCAACGCCCGTCGCCCACAACCAGTCGTCGTCTTCCGCGGTGTCGGCGCCGGCGGTGGGCGTCACTCCGTTGCCCACCTCTGCGCCCACGTCTGGGCCCACCTCTGGTGTGACAAACAATAACCAAAGCATCTGTTGTCTGATAGAAGACACGCAAAGGTGTCATCGCATCGCTGGTAACGCTTCCTATTCCAAGAGGATTGAGAAACAGGTGACTCAACGCAAACTGAGACTCACTCTCGACCACCGCTCGCATCACTCCTACATCTGTGAACATCACAAACAAATGATTCAATCCATCCGTACGTCCAATAAGAGGAAACGCAAAGACAGCGACGACGACAATGAGCTGACCATCGATACGACGGCCGACGGACACACTGTGAGCGGTGGCGCCGCTTCGGCCACCGGATCCGCTCATGACGTGGATCTGCACGCACTTCAGGTGAACACTTTGAGGCGCTATAAGAAACACTATCGCATCCAAACCAGACCCGGCATTAATAAATCACAATTGGCTGAGGTTTGTATACATAAGCAGTCACTCTATACATCACTGATTGTATTAATGCCTCGATTTGATTGTTGGACAGACTCTTCAGCGACACTTCAAATCGATGCCGATCTACGAGAAGGAGGCCATCACTTACTTCATATATATGGTTAAGTGTAATAAGAATAAATTAGATCAAAACAATACGTCCGGTGGCGGCACCGGTGCGGGCGCTGCCAAACAGACAGCGCTGGCCAGCGATTGAGTTGCCGCACATACACCCGCCCCTCATCTCCTCACTCCTACTCTTCATACTTGAGCCTCACATCCATTCAATCGACAATTCATTTCTCATATCAATTCTCTCTTCTCTTGACTTGAGTTTCACTTTTCATTATTTAAATATATTTTTGATTTTTAAGTGAACTCCAAATTCAATCACATTTATCCTTAAGTTTATAATTAATATTTATAATTAAAATTTTATTCAATAATTTAAATGATTGAAAAACTTTGTAAAACTTATGATTTGTGTCTTATTTAAATATCAATTTAAATATTTATCGTTGAATAAAGTATTTTTAAAATTTAAATGATTGAAATATATTGTGTTTGAATGTATTTAACGAATGATCACATTTTAAAGCCATCACTCAATTGGTCAGTAAACAAGTGGTACAACAACTACTGAATAGTACACTATATAGAAAGCATTAGTGTATTTACGAGTAAATTACATGATTTAATGGTCACTCGATTATTAACAGTTACATAGATTTGTTAAAAATGTTACCAATTGAAATGTACATGTTAACTGTTAACATGTACAATTTGTAAATGCATTGCAATATAAGTACACTATATAGAGCGCAAGTGTGTCAATAGGTGTCGCTATTGTATTGCCATTACTTTATTGTCAAGTCATTGAACACTGAATTCACTCAACACAACATTGTCTCAAACACTGTCATTGAATACCAGCGCAAAGCAGATCCAAAGCACATCCAAGCCATGTCTTTGCCCACTAAACACCAACGACTCGCTGATGAGGCCATCGGTGGCCAACTCGACGACCAACGCTCTCTGAAGGCCGACAACGAGATGCTCATCAATGGGTATGACTTGTGCTGATTGTGACACCAATTGATGCCAACACTCATTGTTTGTGTTAATTATGATTAGTTTCCAATCGATTCGTCAACGAGTGGTCGGAAAGCATCCGTTGGAAGCGTTGGAGAAGACATATCAGCAACGGATGGATAACCAGGGGTTCAGTCTCTTGAAGTCAGTTCAGGGCATTCACGCGCCCCTCAGACTCATCCACGAGCGCCGGGCGGCCCAACACATGCGCCGACTTCCAGGCCTTAGCAGCTCTAACCTAATGCTCGATGTGTTGACCGGAAGGGACGAAGAGATTGGTCCTCAAGACTATCTCAACGGTAGTAATCGATGTCTATCTCAATGTCAATCTAATGATATGTTTTGTCTTTGTATGAATCAGATGTGAACGAGACACTGGAAGTGATGGCTCCGATTCATATGTTATGCGAACGCCAATAAAAATGTGTATTAAATCTAAAGTGAACTCAAATCTAAATTATAACTTTTTTTTCTAATAAATAACTTTTCTTAACAATTGATTGAATTATTCATTGATGTCTATAATATTCTGATAAATTCCTCTAAAATAATAGATTTTGTATCAAAATTAGTAATTAATTATTTGCCAAATATTAACAGTAATATCAATTATAGACCATTATTTGGCATTATTTAAATTTTATATTGTATTTTATGCTAATAAACAGTTATATGTTATATTTCAGTAATCGGGAAATATTTTGCTGTACCGTATTCCCCCGCTTTTAGCCCCATGGAATTATATGTGAGGGGTCTCTGACTCGTGTAGGCTTCAAAATAGCATGGGCCTATACCCGGGTATAACCCCACCCCCTCTAACAAACTCACATATTACCCCATGACAGGATCTCTCATTAATAGCAATAAATACATTTATTTATCAAATTCAATGATTAATTATACATTTTGATTAAAATAATTTCTATTTAAAACATATTTAGTCATCTGTATTAAAGGATTCTGTATTAAAAACATTTCACATTTGACTTGTTTTTTGAGTCAAAATAGCATGGGCCTATACCCGGGTATAACCCCACCCTCTCTAACAAACTCATATATAACCCCATGGGGCTAAAGGCGGGGGAATACGGTACTTATTATTGATTTAATTTGATATGAAATAAATTTTTCGATACATAATTAATTAATTTGTAATATTTTGTTTAAAATTGATTTTATTGAACAAATAATCATTTAATGAATACATTACTAAATACTGATCACTACTTATATTTTATTATATAATTATATAAAATTTATTCAAAACAAAATTATACTTAAATACAATAAATAAATTTTTAATTATTTTTTAATTTGTTTATATAATAACAACCATTTTATTGGAATTTTTTAAAATTAAAACCAAACAAAAAAATTAAGTTTTTATTCCAACACTTATAAAACAATTACTAAATTATTTATTAATTTATTATTTATTAGTCAAATCAGTGTCGACTCGACTAACCTTTAATGTGATATTTGTTGCAATTATCCAACTGTTCAGAAAGTATTGCATTTAATTTCAAACAAAATTAATTCATATTAACATTCTTTATATGTTTTCCTATTTTATTGTAAATTTAATAATTGGTCTCTTATTGTGTGGACTAAATGGGGAATCATTTATATATTGTTTGAGCAAATGATGAAACACTTGTCATATTCACAAATATTCATTCATTGTATATCATTGTAACATAATATACGTATGAGTTGTCAAAACTTTAATTAAATACAAACTTAATTAGGTTTCAAATTATGATATATTTTCTAAAATCTAGTTTACAATTATATTTATGTAATCTACAAATAGATGACTCGATATTATTTGTTGGGAATTAAATACAATTGTTTGGAATGATGTATGAATTGAATGGGTTAAAGATCAATTTAAAGTGATAACTTAACTTTGTCCAACTTATTTATATCCTATCAAATCTTTGTATTGATAACTAATAACTGAGAATTTAGGAAAATGTATAATTAATAACAATATACATTGTACATTGTATGATTAATGAATAAATATTATTTGTTGCCAATAATGAGATTCATTTGTTTGTAGGGAAATATTATATTTGATATCAAAATAATTATTCATTTTTTGATAGGAATTGTAGAATATATTCGTAGGAAATATTTAGCAAATGTTATGAATTGGGAAAATATTTAAATGACTATAATTACAATAATATTGTATTATAAGGTTTATAAGGCATATAGAGTTGTTCCTAAAGGAAAAGTCATTTTCCAGAGACGGGCTTTTAAAGACATTTGTTTTATAGACTATAAATGATGAGCAAATACTATATGATTTAGGAATGATTTGTAGATAATATATATTTATATATAAGGCTCACAATTCAAACAGAATATGATTGGAATCCTATGGAAATAATACCATATTATATGTAATGGACTTTTTGTTTGTTAATTCCAATGTTTGTTATGTTTATTAATAATTATTTCTAAGAAAATCTTGGTTTTTTGTTATTTAAGACCAAAATATAATATATTGTTTGCGTTAGAAATCATTGATTGATTCGTTAACAGGAAATGAAAGGACAACAAATGTATGCCATTATATGAAAAGATAACAATAAGATTTTGTAGTCAATGGCACACATGAAAGCACTTAATATTAAATATGATCTTTTCCTAAAGCTCTCAATTGTTTTCTCATATAATATAAATATTATCTTATTTTTGGTAAGAATTATAATTCTTATATATAATCAAAGATTGATTGTTTGGTCGATGAGTTCATTAAATATAAGTTAATCGTAATATTGAAAACATTAAATAATAATAATTAATTGATTGATTACTTTACAAATTCATAGGAAAATTTAGTTGATTGTGATTGATGTCCGAAAACTTCGTTCACATACGTTATCATTAACTCTATGACTCTCGCCTGAGGTCCGGCTTCAAACACTTCAGTGAACAAGTCATTTATGGCTTCCCTATTAATTGTTTTATCACGATTATTACCATGTATTATATCAATAAATTAACAAAACAACAAATAAAAGTATAGTATGGGTACCTGGGCCTGAATATGGTGGGCGCAAATATGATGCCTAAATTGTTTGGTGACATATTGTTGTGTTCGTGAAAGTTTGTAATTCGCTTCAAGTGATGAATGAGGTAAGAAAGGGTCGATCTATGGTTTTTGTGCAACTTATTGATGCCCGACCGCAACGCCTGCACCAGTTCTGTCTTCTTCTCCCCGATATCCGTGTCGTGTTTATAGACGCGTCCGATGTCTATGAACTCCTTGTAGACATCATTTGTGATGAGCGGATGTTTTAACTGTCAATTCACGTCAATATATGTCTTATTAATTATATACCGAATACTCGTTTATATAGACAAACCTCACGCAGAAATACTTTAAGTACTGAACACAAGTCGTTTGGCGTGACATCACTCACATCGATGAGATGCGGACCGCTCTCGAAGCTCTTCAGTATCTTCTGCACCCGAGAGCTGACACCAGTCATGCGATATATGCCGGGAGTGAGACAACCCCTGCGCTCGATCTCCAGAGTGCACTTCACCACCAGAACCGGCACCTCGTGTTCAGTGGTCGTCAGATCCATGTTTATGATGTTGGACTTCGGAGGTAAGGGAGCTCTCGCGCACATTATGGTCATCTTCTTCAGGCATTTCTTATGACTGATTAATTCGCACTAAAAATAATGGTTTTTGACATTTAAAAAAAGCGTTAATAAAGATGTGGCAAATGTTGAGACCTCAGTGCACTGGAAGCCCCAGAAGTAGACATAGGTGTCGCAGATCTTGCATCGGCCGTAATTAGTTGTCTTCATTCGCTGCAGTTTATGAGTTTCGGCCGCTTTGGAGATCTTTTTCGGTCGTTTCCACTTTGCTTTGCATTCAATTGTAATAAAAAATAATTTTTATGATAATATTTTCCAGTATTTTATTTCAAAATAAGCTTTTTCTGAGGCAAATGTCAGACACAAAGACCTCGTGTCAAATGGATTGCATAATATATGCATTGATTAATAATAAATGAATGTAAAAATAGACATTTTATTAGAATTGAGTTTCGGTTAAAAATAGTGACTCTCTTCACGAAAACGATCTCTGAATACTTGATGCGTTTATTAATGGTTAGTCTGTATTACTATCTATTCATTAAATATTTAATTCACGTTTTGAAAAGACGACAATTCTGTGTGCATTTAATTACATTATCTTATATTCAGATGAATTGCTATTTAACTATATATTTACTGTACTTTATTTCTTGGTATCAATGAATGAGTTATGCTTTTCTGTCTCTATATTTATTTTTAAGGATTATATGAGAGAAGAGTATTATTGACTTAATTCTTGAAAGTCTTATTATTTCTCAATACAATTCTCGACAACCTTTCTCAACGATGTAAGATCTCTAACCACTTGTGATGAATTGTATGTATGAATGAGTGAGTGATATCGTAAATAAGACAATACCTTTAATCTCGTCGACGGACGCCTGTGTTTCAGAGATAAGCGCTTCGCAGCTCTGTGTGGATGCACTCGGACTCGGGATCGGACTTCTCTCGTCTTCGGTGGTCTCATCGGCCGATCGGGCACTCCATGAACTGCTGGTGCTGTCGGACTCACTGCCACGCGTCACAATTGGCAGCGGAAGACTCCACTTCTTGGATGTGGTGCTTCCCAAACACAGATCGTCTGATATATGACAGCAATATTTCAAATATTATATCGAGAATTATATCGAAAACAAAGCAAACCTAATGCATGGGCGCCTCCTGTGCTGCTCTCGGTCTCTGAATCGCTGCAAATACTGGGTTTCCGATGTTTCTCGCGTCGATGTCTGCTGTGTCTCGTTGTCCGCAATTTCTGCCAATCGATATTCTTGTCATCGATTTTGCTGCTAATTTGTGGCTTAGGTTTGTCCGTCTTAGACGTCTCGGGCACTGGACTTAAATACATAACCTATGATAACACGGATTATAACGTTTGCTCGATATATGCGTGAGAAGCGATGCACCAGAATATTCATTGTTACAAAAACTTTTGGTCAAACGGTTGGCGAAACTTTTTGGTCAACATTTCGTTATATAAAGTGAAAAATTTGATAATTAGTGCGCTTAGAGAGGGAGCAAAACGGGTGAAATAGTGGACTGACAGTTTATATTCGTTGGAGTGAGTGATAAAAAATGGTTTTCATATCTAATACATGGATATAATGAGAATATAATGGCAATAATGGCGATCAGCGAGCAATTGGTTGAAGAGAAGATGCATCTTATATATGATAAATAGAGAGTTGGAGTGAAGTGTGTTTTCAGGCTGTGATTCGTATAGTTATGCTCTGATGTGGAGATGTATATACGCTATGTGTGTACGCAATGATCGTTTTGAAATGATGAACAGTGCATGACATTAGGTCTGAGCACAAAAAAATCATTATAATCTCTAACTCTATGGTGTATATGAGGTATACATTTAGAGTTACAACAGCCAAAGCAAATACGCTGTCACAACTACCTGTGCTTTCTCTCTCTCTCTCTCTCTCTCTCTCTCTCTCTCTCNATCATTGCGTACACACATAGCGTATATACATCTCCACATCAGAGCATAACTATACGAATCACAGCCTGAAAACACACTTCACTCCAACTCTCTCAACATAGCATCACTACCAAAATTGCATTTATTATTTTTATGCCTCAAATGTAAGCAAACTCTGATTTCATGTTCTCTAATGGCTTACAATAAATTAAGCGAATACTAGAAAACTATCTATGGATTGAAATTTGTTTGAATCGTTGGTTTGCCATTAGTTTTCCACTTCCATTCAATTACACTGTCTTTCCATTTCATACATTTTATTATACTGTATAATAATACTACACTTTATTCCATATATATATATTCTATATATATTGTATATACAATATTCTGTATTCTGATACATCTTTTTATATACAAAGTATACTTTCTATTGCTCTCTATATCTATATATAGCACATAATTCTCGGTTAAAATAATAAAATAGCATTTAATTTAATTCATTGTCATTTTCAAGATAAAGGATTTTTGCGCTGTTTTTGCAATTTATTTATAAGCAAATATAACAAATATAGCTCTTATTATAGTCTTGTGATCAAAGCATGATTCTTAATAAATGGTAATAATATTTTGTTATCGTTTCATAATTATTCTTATAAATAGAATATATTTATGTGTTTATTATATAAGAAATAGATTTTACCAAATAATTTATATATAAAAATAAGGATGTATTTATTCATGGTAAATAATTAGCAATTCTCCGTTTATATATAAAGATATCATTCTATTTTAAATGTTGTTGAGAACAGAATTCATATAAATTCCTATTTGTAATAATAAATTCATAATAAACTCCAAAATAAATTCCTTAATCTGTTATATAAATACTGAATTGGGAGTAAAATATTGAAATTTCTCACATGAAAAGGGCGTCAAATCAATCTATATTTTATATTTGTTGCTATACATGGAGACAGCGATTGAATTCACTGTTACTTTATATACACGACACCTTTATATAAACCGCTGAACTTGCCTTTTATTATAGAATAATTGCATTTATTTTATATTTCATTTATCAATAATTCTGTGATTTCTATTTTAAATAGCATTTGTATTTAATGCACAAAAATATATCATAAAATGAATCTTTAAAAGCTTTTTATGCAAAAGCGTTAAAACAAATGACAATAAAAAATTTAATGAATAATAAAATTGAATTAAGTTTTTGTATAGAAATTAAATTATAATTAATGTATTCTATGATTGAATTGACTTTCTTTTTAGTAGAGCAAAAAACATACTGTACTATAAACGTGTATATAATATACACGCACACACTATGACACAGTATAATATACAGACTATGTACTATAACATATCCTACCATGGTTAAATTGAAAAATAAATAATTTCCGGACTTATGGTATGACATCAGTAGTAGAAGAAAAAGGAGAAAAAAGTAACGCAAAGATTCTTCACTTCGTTTCATAAATCAAAATGTATTTACTTTTCCCAGAATTGGTCGCTATTTGTCATCACATTTACAATCAAAATAAATGTCAAACAAATGCCAAAACATTTGTAAGAAAAGTTGCCGTAATATTGAATACTTTTAAATAATTTTTAGTACTACTATTTTAGTACTATTTTTAGTACTAAGTTAGTAGGACTATTATTTTACAATTTTTAGTTATGATCTGATACTCGAAGCAATTTATTTAAGCAAATATTGTCAATATTTTTGCCATTTTTGAACTATATATTTAAAACATTAATTTAATGATTGAAAGTATATTTTTATTATCAATTTTACTAAATAGAAAATTTTTATAAATAATATTACTTAACTTATATTTATTAAGTTAATAAATTGGTTATTTATATAAAGCAAATTATATTCATGTATTGTTTGTTTTATTGTAATTACCGAACAAACATTTTATAGTAAATATTGTATACTGGGTTAAGTTTTATCAAACATTTATCTTATAATTACTGTTTTAAAAGCCATGTACTAAAACTTTTTAGATTTTATTAGAATAGTTTTAAAATAAATTTGATTTTTTAAAACTTAAAATTTAAAAAAAAAATTTACTAAATATAGGAGTATTAAAAATATTTTGATGGATTTCATACAGTATAAAATATTCCTGTGTTTTAATTATTAATACGATTTTAATTAAATGTGGTTTTTGGTGCCTAAGTATGCTACCTTAAATTATAATACCAATTTCAAATTCTAACTGCACCACAACTACCATAGGTCATTCAGTTTTCATTTGAGCTAATATAAATGTCTGTTAATTACTAAAAGTTAGTAAATTATATTAATTATATTATAGCATAATTGACTTATAAGTAATTGAAGATAAATTCAATGATTGTTTTTATAATTTCTCAAATTTTATTTCACATCTAGAAAATACATAAAATATTGAATCTCTTATTAAATGTGTCTTTTGAGCACTCATTATACGGATTATTATTATTATAAAATTTAAGTGATTAATAATCATTGATTATACTTATATACATCACGTATTCAATACAATACTCTATTCATTAATATAAATAGATTTCAATTATTTGTTCAAAATTCAATCAAATAGTGTTTCAATCAATAAGTGATGAAAGAAATGAAAAATACAAAATTAAATACACTATAAATTATATAAAGTTTGTATAAATTTGTTTTTGTATAACAGATATTTGTTTGTGTTTTTATGTCAAAGCAATTAAAATGCAATCAAAATGTCAAACAAGTGTCAAATCATAAGAAGCATAAGAATCAAGTGTGCGGTGAAGAAGAGCCGCAACACGAGGACTGTTGACCACCGGTTGGGTTGAGTTGGAGTTGGTTTTGATGCAATTTGAACGCATCCATCGATGTCTTCGTCAACGAACTCACCGCCAACTTATCGGCGATCTCTGACCACATCTGTTGAATGCCGTCATTAGTCTTACAACTGATCTTAAAAATGCCGTTAAATTTGGGGAACTGTTCGACGAAGAGGTCGATATCGGAGTCGAGCACTTCGTGCGGCTGTAAGTCATTCTTATTGCCGACGAGGAATATCTTCGCGTTTTCGGCCAACGATAGGATTTCGATGAGATGTTGTGACAGACAGTGAAACGATTCCAACGAATCCAATGAGAAGACGAGAAGAGCCGCTTCGGCGAACTTGTAGTACGAGTTTGTAATACTGGCCACTCTTTCGAGTCCTCCGGTGTCCCACAACTGCATTCGGATCGGCTTCTGGACATCAAACTGACGGGACAAGTGGTCCAAACCCAGTGTCGACTGTCGGGACTTCGCGGCGGACATGGATTGGGTCTCGAGGAAGGTATTGGTGGCGAAGCGGCGGAACAGCGATGTCTTCCCGACGCCGTACTCACCGCACAAAATCACTTTGAATTCAGGCGTAGACACCGATGCCATCGATGCTCACCACCGCTCAATCCAATCGATGGATCAATTACCAGATGATTATTGGCGAAGAGTGTGTTGAATGTGCAAAGAGTGGTGAGAATCGCGTCAATTGTCACAAAAACATCTGTTTTCATGTGTTTCTCGAAAACGCTTTTCATTCATAACAACAAAACACTACAAAATGTTATGCAATCATAGCTTTAACTTTCGGTCATTTCTATGAACGCTGTTTTCGGGCAGAAAATGAGTTTTAATACTGTATTCAATGCATTCAATGGTTACATAAAATGCAAATTTAATGTATATTATTATTTAATTGTAAATTAAATGTGATATAAATTGAATGATTAATAAATAACGAAAAAGTGTGTGAATAATGACCGAAAGTGGTGTCACTAATACATGACATAACAAAACGATACGCTTGTTGTGAACATGACTTACACTTATGACAATGTTATGATGAGATAAGAAGTGAGAAGTGAACATGGTAATGAACATGGTAATTACTGTTATGGTAATTATCATGATTGCTGTGTTTATAATTAGTTATGATTATAAGTAATTACGACAAAATGCTTGCCTTTTAAGGCACTCCTCGTTGTCTCAAACATACATATCATTGGAGTTTACAATACATTAAGTGTTGACTCAATTGAATTCACACCAAAATTATGTCAATTTTATAATCATTTTTATATTCGCGGATCAGTTTTGGCCTCAATTATCACTTTAGCTCTTGTATTGTCTAATTTATGTGTCATTTATGAATGTGAAGACAATTTTGCAAAACTTTGCAAATGAATGTCTCAAATGTGGTGACAATTGCGGCCACTATTGTATTGATTGCAATAAATGGCAGTTTGTGTTCAGTCGGCGACCGATTGCCGTATTTCCGCAAATGTCTTCAGACCTGCTTTGAGACCAACTGCTCGACCGCTGACCTCTTGGATGAGTTCGCTGTCCGACAGCCCGCTTACATGTCTTGGATTGGATGGAACTGTCATCGGGAGTGCGAACACTACTGCCAGTGGATGACAATTAGTCACTTGGTCTCCAGCCCTGAGACNAATGTCTTCAGACCTGCTTTGAGACCAACTGCTCGACCGCTGACCTCTTGGATGAGTTCGCTGTCCGACAGCCCGCTTACATGTCTTGGATTGGATGGAACTGTCATCGGGAGTGCGAACACTACTGCCAGTGGATGACAATTAGTCACTTGGTCTCCAGCCCTGAGACAAGTCATCACCGTTTGCCACAATTTTACGGAAAGGTATTATCCATTTGTAGTGGTCTTTGCGTCCATTTGATTAATATTTGTTATCTTTTGTACTTAACTTTTGTTATCTCTTTAGTGGACATTCTTCCGATTCTATGGTCTCGAAGAGCCGGCGTCTGTATTCTTCTCTCTTCTAAACTTATTGTCTAATATCTACGGTTGGAATGAATACCGAAAATCAATCACAACTGATTCCCATTTCACTATTTGGACACTTCACGCATTGTTGGCCATTAATGCCTGGTTCTGGTCCACAATCTTCCACATCCGTCAGACACTATTCACTGAAGTATTTAGTATTTATTAATATGTATTTAAAAAATAATTATTTTATTTGCGACTATTTTGCAGACATTTGACTACTTTTGTGCATATTCTGTGGTCATATACTCACTGTTTGCACTAACCGTCCGTTTCTTTGATTACTTCAACATTAATGCAAACAAAATAGTGA